CTTCATCCAAGTCTTTCACGTCGACAAAAGCTTGATTTGTAAACGGAGTCCGGTAGAACTGCAACTCACGAGCCGTGTTGCTTCATCCAATCTTGCAAATGTTGGGATATGTCAAGTCCGATGCCGGGTGGGTAAGGACCTAGCCAGTCCAACACACAGCCGAAGCCAGAACAACTTCAGCAGGAACGCCAGCATACACGCCTCCAACCAACTAGAGCGAGCTCTTCTGCATGCTTCTAGGTCTGTGCATGCCAGTACATGACCTGCATCATTCTATACCGACATGAACTGTGTCATCTGTTGAACCAGTTCAATTGCTGTCCTCTTACCGCTTGCAGCTATTCTATGCTGTTCGGCCGTTTCTTGCAGCTGATCATGCACAGAGTTTTACTAGTGAAATCCACAACAAAATGGCATCTGCACGCAGACATCTGTTCGAATTGCTCATTCCGGAGGCATGCACCTTCTTCCAGCCCAGAGAGGCGACCTTCATTTCGCTCGCAAGTCTTGTGAGGGGAATGCAAGTCTGGGACTGGTTTGGCTAGTGCAGTCGAGAAACCCACTGCAAGGGTGGGATGGTCTCCAGCAGTGTCAAGGCCGTGATGATAAATGATACCAAGATCATGGGGCACCTTCGCGGCAACAAATGCAATAGCATCCTAAGACAAAGGTCGGCAAGCTTCAGCAACACGTCGACGTCCGCCTTCGAGGACAGCTTGAACTTTGGTTTGCCTCTGCCTCAGCAAAACGAACTGCCCTTTGCAAGGCCATGCCATGAGTCTGGGTTGACTCTGAAGCAAAGCCGACAAGAAGGCACTGCGGTGGCCCTGGAAGAAAGAACCACCGGCTTGATGCAGGCAGGCAGCTAATGCCTGGCAACGTGAGAAAGACTGAAGTACTACACTTAGGAAGAACGATCAGTCTGAATTACAGAGGCAAAACAGCTTGTGTCTCAGTGCGAAGGTAATGTTGAATGCTATCGTCGAGCGCATCTTCTCCTGTTCGGAAAGTTGAGCCGCCTCGTAGCTTTCTTCGCCCGAAGAGTCGCCACTCTTCCAGCCTCCGTGCCCGGCCGGGGGTCGGGGACCGGTTGGGAAAGGGACGTGTCTTCAACATGCCTTGCTTCAGCGAGACTCTGCTTGTCCCTTCAATCTGGGACCCGGCGGCTTGCCCAACAATTTGACACGGCGCCGAAGCCTTGCCAGGCTTGCAAGACGGCCACGCGTCGTCGGACCCATGCTTTTCGGGAGCCCATCTGCACACAGGACCCCAACGCATATGAACCCTGAAGTGAAGACACGACGATCTTGCACCGACAGTTGCTACAATCTTTGGACCACATGCATGTGTTCTTAGGATGTGGCGCTCCTTCTGTTAGGATACCAGCAAATGAGCACTTACGGAATGGATTCCATCTGCGCGTCTCGGGGCACTCGTTTCTAACATGCTCCGGAGACCGGAAACCCGGCCATGACAGGCCTGCTAGCAGCACGCAGAACACAGCCGGGGTAATGACCTGAACAACTGGCATGAGCAACGCATGTCCGCTGCAACCTGCAACCCACTGTGTGGCTACGTGCTGGGAGGACAACAAGGCCGTGGAGGCTCCGAATCTATGAGGCCGGCGAGCCGGAACAACAAATTAGCTGCTAATAGCTCCCAGGAGAGCGAATGCTTTGAACAGCCATCCTTTTAAGTACGCTTCTCGATCCGTGGGCATCCCTTTTTTCACCATCGATTGCAAGACGGGTCACGCAATGTCAAAGTCGCAGCCCGTTACCAAATTCAGGAGACGAGTGCTGAGGCTCAACATACGACACCTGGTTGATCTGTCTAGACACTCCTGTCCACACGATTCCAGACTCACAACCGTGTCCGGCATTCGGCATGAGACTGATTGGAGCGCATGGCAGACAAACGTAAATGGCTATGCCCAGCGTAGTGGATGTGTGTTCGATGTGTCTAGTCAACAGCCAGGACGAGGAAAACAAAATGTCTTCAAATCCTCAGCTTCGCAGACGGAGCGAGCCGTGAGACACTGCGGAGTCCGATGAGCCCGGGCTATTGTCTGCATCTGGTCAATGCTTTTTTTTTTTGTTTGTGGTTGCTTTTCGTTTGCTTTTCGCCTCGGCCTCGTGGGAGGGGCGTTGGTTCCTGGAAGGGGTTGGGCTATTGCAAGCACGACCAGCTTCTACCTTTGGACCCATGACAAACATCACATCTTTCTGGGCCAACGATTGCCACAAAGCGACCATGCATTTTCCGGCGCTTGGGGCTTTGCCGGCTTCGGGTTTCGACGGCCGTTGCTTCTTCTTCTCCAAGTTAAGGTTTGCGACCCATCACTGACGCACCTCTTTCGGCCCCAAACTCGGACAAGTTCAGGCCTGAGGCTCACTGGTCCATCCCTCTGCAGGGCTTACAGGAGATGAATCAAAGAGTTCCCACGCCTCACCCCCACACCTGTGACACACCACCAGATGAATAGCGGTCGGTTTGCATCTCACTGCGGACCATAGTTATTTTTCATGAGGCAAGCAATCCCGTAATGCTGCTGTCTCAATGATTCTTGACGCTGACAGGCTCGCCTCGCCCCTGTAAACATGGAGCCCCCTCGTTCCCTAAGTCGTGGTGCCTGCTGGCATCGGCATCTCTGACTGCCAGGTTTCGAAACCTCACTACCTACAAGTACTTGAAAGCTATGCACGCCAGTTCTGGACATATCTTGCCCACTTCCTGTGCAAGGAGAATTCATATCTTCTGCATTCTGTTGCTCTCTGGAGCCTGTCGAAAGATGTCCATTGCTTTGTGCCATCCCTGGTAAACAACGCCGGCTTCTGTAGGACTCCACATTGCTCAACGGCGGCACACTGACAAGCTCAACGAAGCCATGGAAAACACGTGTTCGGCGGCGTGAAAAAACACAGATGCCGATGTACACAAAATTCACGTCCGCGGGCGACCGGCTTGCAGAACCTCTCTTGGCAATGTCGACAGCCGACCGCACTTGATACCTAGCCATGGTGCCAAGGGAGCTCTGGTGACTCGGAATGCGCAATTTGCACTGGCTGTCTTTTCGAGATGCCAGCTGTAACGGCAGCAAGCACACCTTCTCTCAGGTGCGGGAATTGCCGTCCTGCTCACTTCAAGCCTTCCACGGGATGTACTTGAACGGAACATGCGGAGCAAGATCTTTCTGAAAGACATGCATCCACACATGTGAGTTTCCGGACACATCGTGATATAAACCGCTCTTTCACAACAATCAATCGGTGAACGAGAAATGCCTAGATTTTGGTCACAAGCGTATCAGGTCTGTGCATTGAGGCTCTGCTTCTTTATGGCAACAGTTTCCCTGGCCCAGTGCAAGCAAGAGCCGCATCTACATTCCGGCAATTGTGCATTTCAGTCTCGATGCTTTTCCCGCCCACTTTGCTGACCAGGTTTCAGGTTGCTTTTTCAGACTCGATGTAGTCAACGAGGTTCGAGCTGCAAGGCTTGTTGGTGACATACCAGCAGGAAAATCAACATGCTCCAACTAAGGTTTTGGAATTGTTCTGTCAAAGAATTTCCTTGATTTCGTCATTCTCAGGCCATCTTTGCCTGCGAAGGGCTTTCTGCAGTCTGAACTTCGAGATGCGCACTTTCCGTACTTGGGAAGCTTTAGCAATGCACGCCTCGTGTGACTGTCCAGTCGATATTTCTCGAGTCTGCCGAGAGTGACATGTATTCCCAAATGTGTATGTACTTATCTGGTATTCTGCATATGTACTTATGCATGCAGTTTGCGTGCATGTGGTGATGTTTGTGCATGCGCATGTTGGTGCCTGTGCCGAATTATCATGAAACGGATATGCTGCTTACCCCGTTGAACTATGTGAATTCTCTGAGCTATGCAGCAAATGTTCGCTTCTTGATGCGGCCCAATTCGGACGATTGTCGTTTTCTAGGAAAAACTGCCAGCAACGAAGCCTTGATGGGATATCGAAGAAATGCACTGTCTTTTTTGTTTCTCAGCCGAATACTGCAACACCGGCAAGTGCGGCCAGCGTCTGCAGGCAGAAAAGAGTGAAGGGGAAGGGGTTGTTCATCAACATCGAACACAAGCCGTGAACGCACAACTACAAGAACATAGAGAATAACTGAGAGAGACAGCGAACAATAACGCCAGTCAACCCTGCATCAATGTGTAGACTCGGGGTGCGTATACATGTCTGTGTGCATGGTTGCGTAGATTCTACGGATGCATTCATGAATGTGCCCATCGGGGAAAACTATCATCAGTATTTCGATGCGAGCAGTACTTCGTGAGGACGGCTGCCTCGCTGCCTGGATCTGCCTGGGATGCATACAAATGCATCAAGGTCCGTGATGGCTACCACTTTGGCAGCTCGTCAAACAGTGTGCTCTTCTATGAGCCTGAGCGCACCCTCCCTTGATGCCATCTCACAGTAGCCGTCCGAAGTTTGGCAGTTCAGTTTTCAGGCTCACTGACATGCGGTCTAGTGGGAAGAGCGCACCGTTCATCGCATAAATGCAGCCTACTTGACTGGCAACGACGCAAGCAAAAGCCAATGAGAATGTGACGCCCCTCACCACTTGGTGGTCTAGCCGTCTAGCAAAGTACAATTTGCAGCACAGCTCTGTGCAGATGTGCGCTTTACGCAATCTGCAGATACAGGCCGGGCCAGGTTTCGCAAGAGCCGCCAAAAGCAGCATGCTGACGTCTTCTAATCTAATCTACTACGAACTGACTCGGCCAGGCTGTGGGCTTGCTTCAGTGGCTGACAAACTTGGCGGTGCGGATAGGACTCTGCCCATGTACTCGGGTTCCACCGCAAGTTTGAAAGTCTGGCTTCGCATTGCGTTCTGCTTGAAAATCATTGCGACGGATCAAGCATCGAAAATTCACAACAGAACCAGCAGGTTCCCTCCGGGTAGACTTCAGCTTAAAGTTCAACATGGTCTGACGCCGGCCTGCACTCTTGAGCAGCTTTCCGGGCCTATCCACGCTCCACGTTGCGTGCAGAGGAACGTCGCTGAGAAGGACTGCTCGAGGGCTTCTCAGGTGGCGTTAAGGGTGTGGACCCCGTGGGCGCCTGGCAGCTCCACAAGAGGGCCGCTAAAGGAACTCCTCTCCCGCTTAGGTCTTAAGTTTTTGCCTGGAAAAAGCTACCTTCGTCTCCTACTTGTAGCAAAACCTGCTGTTCGTAGCTGCCTTCTCCGTCTTGGTAACCGCGCTCGACTCGAAGCGGGTCGTGAAGTCGGTAAGCTGTGTTTGCAGGCCTCAAACAAACAAGTCTCGGGCTTTGTGCAGGCGCTTCACAGCCTGGTAACGCTGTTTCATGCCACGCGACCCAATTGTGTGTCCTTGACCTCGCGCATGACCTGCAGGAGAAAAGCATCCATTCTCATCCTTGCGCTACATGGAGCGCACGTGTTGCAAGACCATCTGCGGCTGCACAACGTCGAAAGCTTCTCTGCGGAGCCTCTTCAATCACCTGCGTTTGGTGGTTCGTCAGCCTCACGCGGATGTGCTCCGAGACATCCCAACTAACTACGAGTAGCCGTGCTCACTCGAAGATGATACCAGAAGCAATCTATCCATCATGCGGGCCTACTTCACGATCGAGCACCCCCGCGGGCACCATGCGCATCGGAGGGGGGCAGGGTACCGTGCACTGGTTCCGCCTGGTTCCAGGACCGGGCAAAGGGACCACCACCACCACCACTGCCGCCGTCGCCCCCAAAAATGCCTTCCCCTTGTCTGGCGGGATTCAGCGTTCTAACCGCCAGACTACTTCTCCCCCATGTAGAGGGACCGACATGCTTCCCTGCCTTGTCTGCTGGGTTTGCAGCATTTTGAAGCCAAGATGAGGCCAATTTCTGGGATTTTGCAGTGAACGGCGCTTTGCGGAAAATGGGGCCGCACCGATACTAAACTTGTAAATGTTTGGACATGAGTCTAAACATGTCTAAACCATGTAAAGCGCCCCAACAGGAGCACGGAATATTCTCCGCGTGGATACTAAGCAAATCTCTTTACACCGAACGTAAGAACCCAGTAATATCACCACACTATTTGTGGCATAGAGTCATAGAGGCAATATGACGAGCTGAACGCACCCATTCCCTTCAGACTCCTGCCAAGATACCTCTCTTCGATTTGTGCCAACTCCTTCTTGATGGACTCCGCGCTTCCTGGTCAAGCTTTGAACATAAAAGCAAGACCAGCTCAGACACCCTTGGACCCAGACCGCCTGCCCAAGCTTACTCCGGAAGTCAAATCTGATCTCGGGAGACTAAAATGATGACGAGGAGCTGCCGCTGCTATGTTTCTCGAGACGGGCAGCGTTCTCCTTTCAAGGCTGTGCTGCAGAGAAGCGCTCGCAACACATACCATGGCTGTATAGCAGGGACATGCAACCTCGAGCACATGATGCTAGATAACTTCAAGAGTAATCAAAGGATGTGACCGACGGGCCTCCAAGCGTTCGACCATCGTTTCGACTGCTGTGCGGAAACTGCCCTTGGCCAGCACAAGGACCGAGCTCAGTTCTGTTGGTATTCCAAAGCTGCCTGGGAATGTTCCCCTCTTGTTGCGAGCGGGGCATCTGCGTCGTTGCCTTGCGCCTTCGTGAGCTCCTCTGCCATAATGCCACGCAGCTGGTCAGCTGTGCTGGTGTCCAAGCCTGATAAGCCAACGGCGTTATTTAATGCCGCAGGCCAAACAAAGACACGACGAACACTCACGAATCACGAACAGATTCAGACCTGTGCGAAACACTGCGAACCACTGACGCTGAGGGCCTGTGCTGTAAGCAGATCACCGCACAGGTCAGGGTTGAACAGTTAACCGCTGTCCAATCTCCCAGGTCCCAGGATTCGCGGACCCATTTGGATGGCTACTCTTTTCAATTCACGGAGCCGCCTCATCAACACAGCTAGCGCGGCTCGAAGTTCAAAACGACGGGAAGATGCAGTCAACAACGGCGCCCAAGTAAAACACCACAGGGTTTGTTGGCACTCGCACTCGACAAGTGTGGTGTTACATGTTCAAGCAACAGAACCTCAAGGCCCTATAGCGGTCCACCAAACGCAGGATGAAGCGCTTTATATCAGAGCCACGAGCGTTGACACACAGCACAGGATTGAGGGTTCGATAGCAGAGCTCCCAGTGCTCAAACAGCACATTCTTTGTTCAGTATCAGAGGCCGAAGTGTTCAAACGGAACATGAGTATGCGTTCAACAACAGAGCCCCCAGTGTCCAGACGACCGAGGATGAAGTGCGGTCGGCCACAGAGCCCCAAGATGCCCCAAGTGCTGCAACACCGCAGGCTCGAGTTAGCTCCAGCACCGGATTCAGTGTTCAAGAACGGAGGGTTGTTCAATTGTTCAAAAATCACAGGAATACCGTAGTTCTAGAACAGAGCGCAAAGCCCAAAAGGCTCAATTTGCACGCAACTCTGCAACAATTACTATACCTCTTGTAGACGGCAGGGTGGTCCAGTGCGCACTC